GGATAAGTTGGTTAACATTACGTGCAATTTCTTTTAGGTGGAATTCGAGGCTCCAAAGAGTTACATATTATCGTCGAAGCCAAAACTTATCAAATTAGATCTTGAAGCAGTTGTGGACTGTCCGTGCAAGGATCGCAACAATGAAGCTGCGCTGGAATCCAACGACAATACTAAACGTGTTGCTATTCACTGATCAATGAAAGAAACCTGTTTCACAAATTCATTTCTAATGTATCGATTGATGAATGAACACTGACTTCTAGAGAGTAAAATTTTATTGAAATAAAAATCAGGTCGATTGCAATATGAAACTTGATATTTTTATGAGCAATTCAGCATGAACAGATGCAGTAAGTTTATTCGTGCAAAACATCTTATTTGATGCAAAGCAAATGCGTTATTGTTACAATGGCAAATGAATGCACGCGAATCGTTTAGACAGCAGCTCTTTTTTACGGTCTCTAACGAGTGAGTAAATTGAATAAATTGCACACACACATAGATCTTCATACATTTCGTCACAAATGTCGTTGCATAGGAAATTTGTTGCGTTGTTAAGATAATTAGTGAGGAATTTCGACGAATCGATAAGTTTCTTGAAACAATTTCGACACATAACCAGAATGGGGAGGGGAAATGGGGGTGTTGGCGATGAAGAGAAGAGAATGATGAGACGTGCAAATATAAGATTGTTTGTTCGTAAGAGGATGCAACGACGCAAAGATAGAAATAAATAAATGACCTGATTTGGTGTAAAGAGTATTGTAGTTCTGAATTCATATCATCACTCAATTGCAAAGTTTCATTTTATTCATCATACTCACCACCACCACGATGGCATCGTACCCTTCTTCTTCATTCCTTATCATTCTCCTTATCAATTGTTTACTGCAGATTAACAGCATCGTTCAAGCGAAGGTTATCCTTCATATTTCATTAATGCTACTCTTATTACTTACTTTAAACAAACATTTCTAGTAGCAATATTGTAGCAAGGCATCAGCAGTAATACTAATTAGATTCAGTTTTTGTAGCAATTCATATTTAATGAAGTAATTATAAATTTTAAAAGCATTTGCGAATGGATTTCATAAGAATAGAGATATTCAAATAATTTATTCAATTGCAATATAAAATGCAAAGTGGTTTAAATTCAGGATGCAACCGATCCCGTGATTGTGTTCGCGAGAGATAAGGCGATTTTTACGAAAGATCATCCTCTTTACGCTGTACTTATTGAGTCAAAGGAATCTGAGGATTATGATGATCATTTTGAAGAATTCGAATTTGCAGCAAAACATTTCGGTGAGAAAGTAAGTGATCAGCAATTATTATTTGATTCAATACATCGCTTTATGGATTTTTTGAGCAGAAATCAACTGCAATATACTCGAATGTTTAACGCCATTCAATATTCGATATGAATTTCGACAGTGTATCTTGAAAATGTTCACGATTGCTATAAGTGAAACGTAACAATTGATTATACTATATAGGTATTTCTCGACTAGAAAATGGCGGTCATATGTGTTCGAATAATACATCAAATTGTCTTTTCATATGAAATCTCAACGTTTTATCTCCATAGCGACCAATTCATCACAACGTTTCAATAGTCATTTACACGACATTTTGAAACTGTTAATCATCATTTAAGATTAAATTCGTTTATTTGAATACGGATGTGGAAAAGTACTGGGAAACAATTGAATTCCTCGGTTTAATCGCTGAAGATGTGCCAACGGTGATGTTCATCGATGTGAGCAAAGGTCTCGAAAAGTTCAAAGCTGAATTTGATGAGGTGATTATTTTTTGAAATGATATCAATATCTCCATTTTTGATCACTTTCAAAATGTTCTGAATGAGTGCCTGTATCGAAGTTTATATTTGAA